TACATACATACATACATACATGTTGAGGCTTCGGCTTAGGTGAAGCTTTAGGTTACGTTGGCTTATATGAGCCTCCGCATGCGTGTATGTGGACACGAGTATGTAGGCACATGTGCATGCGCATACTGCAACCACAGTGCGCAGAAAAACACATACCGCGGCGTGATGCAACCGTGTCCGGCCAACATTGTCCCATTCGGCAACAAAGGTCCCACCTGGCACAGGTAGTAATTTCGAGCCACCAGAGACTAATCAAGCTGCAGCCGTGATAAAGACCTCGGGTCATAATTGACCCACTGTGAACTGCGACCAACTGTGTCCAGCCTTGGTTCTTGTTGAAGTCGGGGCCAAAAGATCCCGCCGGCAGCTTCTGGCCACAGCCCTGGTTGTCGTACTCCTGGGGGGCCTTGACCTTGAAAGCTCCGTGGGTACAACTTGGGAAACTCCCAGCCGTGATGTCTACATCAAAGCAAATTGCACAGGCAGGTGGCCCAACAGTTCTTTGCCTTGTTGGTTCCAGTCGAACCGGCCGCCCAACCTGGCTACAGTTGGCTCAAGTTCAGATTCAGCTTGCAAGTCTCACAAAACCACACATGACATTGCTGCGCACAACGAGCCTTGTCCCACGAAGTCAATTCCGTTGTTGACCTCTCGCCTTCCGTGGAGTCGTAGATGAGTAAATGGCGCCATACAGTGACAGGCCACTCAGACGGCTAAAGCAAAGGGCACGATCATCTGAGGGTCTGCACTGGTCACAGCTCGCGCGGGTGTGCAAAGTTGTGGTTGCCTTCGATGAGACACGCAGAGGCTCAAGCTGGTGCCTGCACCAAGCGGTCCAGACAGTCCGGGACACGTAGTTCTCTACGTGGATCGACTCGAGAATGTCGTACTCACCCCAACGAGGCCAGGCATGCTGGGCATCATCGCCGAACATCCAGAAGGCTGGCCAGGCTCCTGCTTTGCATCAAACCCTACTGTAAGACCTAAGCCGACTTCGGCTACAACTTTGTGGCTATGTCAATTCGGTGCCAAGTGTCCGCAGGCCGTGGGCACATGTTTCAGAGTGAGGACAAACATGCCACCATTGTAGCCTCGGTATCTCCGATCGGTCCAACTTGGCGGAGCACCAAGAACTTGGAAGTAATGCATCCATGCAGCTCTTTTTGCTTTCGATCCTCACTGCTTTCCTGCCACCTGCCACACGCAGTGCAGCGGCCAAACTCATCAACCGGATCCTTACCTCGACCTGGTTCCGTCCTCTACCCCCACAGGACTGGTCCAAACTAAGGACAGGAGGTACCCCGCAGAGCATCAGAGGAGAAGCAGCACATGCAGCAGTTGCTGTCTTACGTAAAGACGCCGGCACAGCTCGGCTCAGCTAAACGCCAACCAGCCGACCGCAGCAACAAGTCTGGAACTGGCCCGAAACTTATTGGAAAAGAAGCATGCAGCACAACGTTTGCAAGTGGCTGTAAGAATGGCTCCGACCCAGAAAGGAGTTGAGAGGAGCTGAGCAACAATGATATTACCGCCACCTGGCTGTATCCAATCCATGACTACTAACTACTACACGGCCTTCACTTCCCAGCTTGGTGGTGTTGTCGACGCCCATGTAGACTCCACCCTGGGATTCACTCGCATGCAGCTCCAGAATCGGAACAAACCATCTGCATGCTGCGCCAGCGGTGGCATGCATTGTTTCTTGCACGACGCAGTTTCCAACAGCGCATGATTGTTTCACCTCCGTGCGACCTCAAATGTCAAGAGATGCCAAGAGGCAGGTGATGCAGAGAGCAGCTTGTTATTCCAGGCTTCCATCTCTGTGACGAACTCAACCTGAGTAAATCGCATCCGTGGAGGGATCCTCCATCTGCTCTGCTTTTTCTAGCAGCCCTGTGGCTCACTAAGCACAGAAGACCTTTGTCCAAAAAGCCTGGAACTTTGATTGATTTCATTCTCTATGAGCATCCAATCCACCCTACCGAGCCTGTGAAGCTTCCAAGCTTGTTATCTCTCTTAACGGCGCTCAACGAAGTCTCTGGACAGGCCAGGGGTGCAGGGACGCTGGGATCAGAAGCTGCCCTGTATTGTCAACAAATCTTCGACATTCAGTACTGGTTCTCGCCTTGATGCACTCAAGAAGTCGATGTTGCATCGCAAGACAGCCACACTAGTCTTACAAACATCACCCATCGACAACCTGTAATAGCCGGGAAGCCGTGCCATGCGTGGGGTCCGGTCCCGAATAGAAATTCCAATGTTCGAAGAAGTCGGGGCCCACGAGGCGCTCGACGGGAGTATATCTGGGTTGCACAGAAAGGGCAGAACGGGCGGACACAGCTTCAAAACCTGAACACCTGTTCAGAACAGCACCGTAGTCTGGCCTCATGATCTGCGCGCGCGATGCACGCAGCAGCAAAACTGACAGACAGGAGGCACACGCATGGAGACTGGAGCGGATCCCAGGGCTATGAGGAAAATCCCAGGCCTAGCAGAGCGAGGCGAGCCATGGCTCCCGAGCCCATGCAGGGCCAAGCCATCGCTACGAGAGATCCGAAGCCCAATGCGGATAATCATCATGGTGGTGATAAGCATGCCGAAAAGTGCCAGTATCGTCGTCGTAAAGACGACTATGATAAAGATTACCGTGCTAACCCGTTCTATCCTGTCTTTGTGAGGATAAGCAAGGTCATGAAAACTTCAAAAAACACAAGAATAAACAAGAATTAGCCCCTCACGGGTAGACATGAGAACCGAACAGTCCCAGTGCGAGATGTAGTGCAAATGCCTTTGAGCCCGATTCAATTCGGCATCTGATGAGCGCAGTGTTCGCATGGCATGGCCAGTCGGAACAAGAACTCGCAAGCAGACTGTCTCTGTGGCACTTCTCAAATCTTCCAGGTACCGCCCTGTCTGAAAGCGACCTTTGGCTCAAGTGGCTGAGCTACGCTTTCTGCCCATCCTTCACGTCCCACCACCTGGGAGAAGAGAGAGAGACAGAGACAGAGACAGAGACAGAGACAGAGACAGAGACAGAGACAGAGACAGAGACAGAGACAGAGAGAGTGAGGGACGGCTGTCGTTTTGTGAGAGGCAGCGTAAAAGTCGACTTGTCGCTAGAGATCGCCGTCCCCCTTGACCCAAGCCGGCCCGCTACACTTCAGCGGCCCTTCCTGACCAGACCGCAGAGCTCAAATTATCTCAATCTGTAATGCGTGCTCGGTGGTCCACTGATCTCGCGGGGTAGGCGGAGCACCGGCAACTCCAACCAACTCGAAGGTACCTTCGTCACCCGCAGCCATGTCTTCTAGGATCTGCTGTACGTTTGCAGGCACCTCTCGAGGCTTTGGGGTTGAAGATGGCGTCCAGCACGGCCAGCCCCACATCGTCACCTCAGGTGTCTGAACAGCACACCGCGCGTTCAGCATCGGTGCATGCGCAGTTCGATAGGATATGGTAGGATTGTAGTCGCCGTACATCTTTACGATTTTAGGGCTTGTCCGCCTGGAATCGCCTGGAAACAAAGTCTGATTTGGGAATTGCCTGTAGAGAGTGTTAGAGACTGCCAGGATCATGGCGGCTGATCTTCTTGCCCACATCGGAATCACGGAGGCGCAGCCTGAGCGACTAAGCAGCTTCGGCAGAAAGGGTGCCACTGCGCTACTCAGAGCGGTGCCGTCAACGTGACCGAACCTGAGACCCCCGCGAGTCCGGCTTTGCGAAGTAAATTCCGCCGACCTGGTTTGGTTGCGTAGATCGATGCAAAACTCTTGCTTCGGGCCCATTGCCCATGACAATAATCGGGGTTGGAAAAGAGGATGAAGGTGACGAAGGTCGCGATGATGACTTGGCTGATAATGTTGCAGCAAAGCCGCATCTCTGGGGAAGTCGTTGGACATTGGCACCTGTACATCAGCGCTCGAGCCATGCATTTCTGGCCCATGCCCTCCGGGAGCCGCGCTGGACGAATGATGGTGTAGTCAAGGCCGGACCTCAGTCGGGTCGTCTCTGTTTTGACAGCGGGAAAGCTGGCATCAGCCTGAGAATGTCGCTTCTTGATGTACTCCTCCGCTGCCAGCTTCTTCTCAAGCACGCTTCCGAAACTGCAGGTGCTGCTCAAGACTGAGACCCCGCATTCTTGGGAACTGCTTCTGATCACTGAGTGCTGCGTTCTTGGGGTTGCAGCTTGTTCCAGTTCTTGTAGACGTCGCTTTCTGTGACTTCCTCCTCAGCTGCCCCACATTCATTATCTGGCTGCAAGCAAGCCTGGAACCAAAGCAAGCAGGGGCACAAAAGCCCCTGTCCAGTATGCGATGCTGGAAAGATCCAGGAATTAGAGTCATTAGAGCTCAAACGCAAAGTCAAACCACCGAAGGTACCTGCAAGCTGCAACCGGGACCTGCACTTCACCTTCGGTTCCTGCCTGCGACTCTACAGACAGGGCAGATGAACCTGGAACCGTCTCGGTCGAAACCCGTCTTTGGACGCAAGCGCGCTTAGGTTTGTTGCTGCGAAGGGAAACTACCTTGGCCTTGGATAAGGCAAACAGGCTACATGGAAAACCGCAAAGCACCCCCAAGCGCTAGATGCAAAATTGATCGCGGAACCAAGGCTAAGCAACTTCTGGGGCCCGTCTCTTAGCACATCTGTTTCCGCCCCAACGTCAAGCAGGCAAGAAAAGCTGTACAGCACGTGCTGAACTGTTGCTGTCCTGCTCACCCGCTTGCCCCAGCTGCATGGAGCTGAGATGGCGGCTCCGAGGTTCTTTCCGTTGGCCATTATGGCAGACCTTGAAATCAACATATTTCATCCCAGTGTGCTTTTTAAATCTTTTAAATAACTGCTTAATATCTCTTGACGCGACTGGACATCAGACCAGCTCCACTCTGAACGTTCCTTAGAACCAACTCACATCGCTTTTTTCCTGCTGAGATTGCCCACGTTCCTTCAACTTGGCATGACTGCAACTCTCCGTGCATCTCCATGGGACATCCTACTAGAACAACGGACATTGCCCGGAAATGAAGCCAGGCCCCGGGCACATAAATGAACTTTTTGACGCCTGGGCCAGTGTTTGGTATCCTTTTGGTGTAACATTCATGACGTGACGGGTGGCTGAAACCTGGTCACGTTATGGCACTTGCCTCTTCTCTCTCAGTTGCTCGCAGTGATGTCTCAACAGCCCAAACAACTTTGGAGATGGCTGGCATAATCAGGGGCATAGTCTTTGTGCCACCAGTGAACGGACTTTGCCGATCTAGGTGGAACATGGTGGAACAGTCAAGCAAAAAGCTTCGCTGTCACACGGCCGCATCTGCACGGCTAGGCGGCTAGCTATTTGCACCTCACAGTTCTCCCGCATCATCAACCAGACCGCAGCTTGGCGGTGGAATGCACGTAGATGACCCGGCAGCTCCTGCTTATGCTCGGGCACGGCTCTGCCTGGCGACCTGCGGCTGAGCAAGGGGAGGGGACCGAGAACAGTGGGTGACAACCGCACGCACCTTTGGCCAAGGCGGTGGAGGAGCCAAGGGTTCCACGCGACCTGGGGCAATGACAGACCCTCATCCCGCACTGGAGACGCTTGCGCCTTGAGCTTCTGGCGACCCTCCGCCACCACGAGCGCAGGGCGGCCGAGCGCACCCAGATCTTCAGTCGGATTGCCAGCCTCACACTTGCCAATGACACGCGACTCCAAGAGTTTTGATCTCAACGTCGTAAATCAGTGACTGTAGGATACTGTAGGCCACAAGCACACACACACATACACACACGCACACACGTGCGCGCATAACATACACACCAATTCTGCTTATGTTCACAATCCTCCTGCTGTTTTAGGTTCTAACCGTGTCATGCGTGACTGCATGTGCGACGAAGATGCTACCACGAGGAAGTCTGCGGAGAGGCGTGGCAGTAGACGACCACACCTTGGCACACTGTGCACATTGTAAACTTCACATGCGCGAAGGCCGCCGTATGCCGCCGTCTGTGTGAATTCCAGGCATGACCGGACTCGGCATTGCGTAAGGCTGCCACTCTGCCTCAAGGCCCAAGACAGCAGCCGAGGCCGAGGTAGCAGCTTTCAAAGCTTCCACCGGCGTCATCCTGCAAAGAACCCCCCGTCTTGCGGCAATCCTAGTCAGGTCGTAAGCTGCTGGTCCTCTGCCCGCTTAAAGGACATGGGGGACAAGGTGTGCGAAGCTTTCCGGAATCTCATGGTTGGGAGACCCACGAACTCCGTTGGGCAGGATCTCAGAAACGGTCCTTGCCATCTCGGCCAGAACCTGAATGCCTGCATGAAGAGCGTCGTGGGGAAGACCTGCGTACCATGTCTGAAGATTGTTCAATATGCGCATATAAGCATGCATCATACATGTGCATGTAGAAATGGATTCGCCCCGGCGGACTTCCTCCTTTCAATCGTACCCCCCCCCATCCAGGCACTCCCGTGCCTTCCGCCCCTCCCCCCGGAACGGCTACGGCCCTGAGCTTGGTGGCTTGGTTTAGGCCTTCTTTCAATGGTTCTGCGTGTGATCATTCCCCCTCCCACCGTGTGGAAATGCTTGGAGTCCTGTCTTCCGCACATGCTCTTCAAGGCTCGAGGCCTTGTATTTGGGGGATAGCCCTCACATTGGCTGGCAACTTTACTACTTTTGATGTGGGGGGTGAATATTTAACAAAAAGAACACCGCCCAGCCTGGGATGGCTCCCGCATCTGAGGAGGCTAGGAGCTGGATCCCAGCCGCGCCTGAAGGCTTAGAGTTCTGGTTCAGGCTTAGGGCTTTTTTCTTAGGGTGCAGGGGCTCTCAAGCTAAGCCACGCTAAGCCACACTAAGCCCATCGATGCAGCTGGCTCACAAAAGCGCAAGCATGGGTCGGAGGAGTTCCAATCCACAAACCATCACGAAGGCACAAACCACGGACAGGGTGCCGAAGCCCCGAGCCAAAAAGAACCTGGCTAGTTACAGATGGGCCCGGGCTGCAGCGGCCAGTGACCCCCAGCTCTCAAGCTCGCGAACTCCGTTTCATCAACACTTCTATCTTTCCGTGGTCCAAGGGGTGGCAAGTGCCCGCTTATTGTCAGGAGTTTCAGCCGCTGCCACCGACAGTGTTAGGCGAGAGGTTTGCAGATGAATTTAGGGAGTGGCACAGCTACTCAGCTACTTATGCCAGAGCTGAGACCTGCAAGTGGAATTGTTGAGTCTTTCCTCGTGGAGGTTTGTACGAACATCGAAAAAGTGCACCAGCAACGGTTGCAAACTCTTGCGACAGCCGGTAATGAACTCGTTCAGGAAGTTAGCCCAGCATGGCTTCTTGTGATAAGTTCTGTGTGACGCACCCACACGTCACGGTCGGCACATTGTCACACTGGCTCTTTTAGTTGATGGTACCGTTCTTGCCACAATGGGCCAGAACTCCGTAGCCACATTACTGGTAACACAGGAGCATTTTCTGAAACCATCTCTGATGTCCACCGCTTTGCACGAATGCGAAGGAAACGGCTATGTGGCGTGCTGAAGGATTGCCCTGCACAATCTTGCAGGAGTAATGTGCGGGCATTTGTTGGGCAAACTTGTCTCCTTCGGGTCTGAGCGTGCATTTGCCTGCTAACGACATTCACAGGGTTTGCAATAATTACCGACAGCAGGAGAAATTTAGGCGGGTTTGCGGTGCCAGTCCGCTAACTGCATGCTCGCCACAAGGATGTGACATGTGCAGCAGCATGTGCTACCGAGGCTCGCAGCTGTTGCAAGGCTGAACACATTCCTCAGCAGAATGCAGCAATCCGTTGCATCACTTTCACATCTGGTCAGTAATAGTGACGCCAAGCGTCGGGTGTAATTGCGATGTCCCATAGGCTTGGATCGCCAGTTCGCGTGTGCAGTTGGGGCAACAGCTATGCCTTGCCGAGCCATGGCCTGTGTTGGGGTGGTCAGAAGCATTCACAAATCTTTTTCGCATTTCGTGAAGATGAGATCAGCACCCTGACAACGCGCCCTGGCCTCCACCGTGGAAGCATCCACGCAGCCCCACTGGCCTGCCTTCGCTATCCAGGTGCAGTGCTCCACCGTTCTGCAGCCTGCCTGCAACGTTGTTGCGTGCAACACATCGTCACCAAAACGCCCGGCGGCTCTGGAAAGCGGCGACCAAAAAACTGCCCCACCTGCACCGCATGGACCACGCCCTGGGCACCATGCGCATGCGCCGCCACTGCCAGCGACTTTGCAGTCGCACGGGCAACCACCTGTTCTTCTGGCCAGGAGAGATTTGGGTCAGCAACCCCAATGACGCTAGAATTCACTAGAAGTCATGTCCGTGCTGACAATCACTATTCGTCTACATGCTGCGGCTGTGCTCTCTTGCTGCACCTCTTTCAGGTCATGGACAGAGAAGGCTGCTTCCTGGCCCGACATGCAGGCAGATTCTCCTACGGCCTTCGGACGTCACAGGCAGTAGGCTCGCAACAGCACGTGCATGTAATGCTGTCAATGAACTTCCAAAGCTATGAAAACTCGCATATCATCATCCGACGTGTTCTTCTACCAGCTTCACGCTTTGAGGGATCCTCCACATTTGTCCCAGGTGTACGCATTCCGCCAGTGGCCATCACCTTGATCCAGTCGACGCGGTTCTCTACCTTGCACTCAGTCGTTGAATGATGGCGCTGTAGACACCGCAGGATCACAGCTACAGCTGTTGGAAGGTATGGACGGCGAGAAAAAGACTGTCGCTAAACACCGCCGAAAGGCCCCTGGCCTGGCGGTCGACGACTGCCAAAGCTTCCTCCAGTGAGCCTGCCTGTTTCTGATCATGTTCGTTTAATCTTTCGGGAGGAGACTAAGGGCCGAAGGCATCATATGTCATCATGCTAACTAGAAGCAGCAGAACAACTTTTGCCAAGCAACCCGTCGCCTTCACGAGCTTCAGACTTCACTTTGGGATTTAGTGCGAGTAGTATCTTTGGGATTTGGATGGGTTTGGTACGGGCAAAAAACCTTCACGCCATAGCAATGCAAATGAGCATGGGCATGGCCGGTAGACTGGAAAAGCCGTCCTCGAAATATCTCTTCGGTGATACCCGTGGTCATGACTCTGATGAGTTCGATGCATTGCTACTTCCAGCATGCGTACTGCATCTGCTGAACTAGAAGATTTCTCTACAAGCAGTAGCAGTAGTAGCTAAGCGGTTCTAAAGCCTCGGAGGACCACTGACATGATGGGGCTTCCAGCATCCGAGATCGTCCAGTGCTCGGGCAGGAGTATAGTGCCCCCCGCTGCCCACCTACGCCCCGCCACGCCTCTCCGCCCCATTGATGGCAGTGTCCTCTCGGCACCGTCAGCGGCTGCCCCGCGCAAAGCCTGGATCAAAACTCTACAGTATGCCACCGTTGTTGGACATCGTAGAATCGCCGAACGATTCAATATCCCTCATGGTCCTTTTGCGGAGATCAAGCCCAGTAGAAGTTTCATCACTTTGGCTGCCTTCTCGCCAGTAGAAGTTTCATTACTTGCAATGGCACTTTGGCTGCCTTCTCGCTTATCATCGCTTATCATCCCCGTACGTACATGTCGTCCTGAGTCGATCAGAGCGACCACAAAATAGTGTTTGCAAACGAGACATACCGCCAAATCCACAAGATGCTGACCTGCATTGCAGCCGTCACGAAAAAGGGCCGGAAACCTGGGTGAGAACTAGAGCAGGAAATACTGGGAGCAGAGAAGCGAAGGCAAGTACGACACAAGCAAGCCTTCGCGTTTAGGCATGTCTAGGGAAGGTTTCGACAGATGCACGCTCGAAAGATCTCGAAAGACGGGTTATTGCAAGGGAAATGCAAAGGAACAGAAACATCATGAAGGTTGTCTCCGTCTGCCACCAGGACACAGGCGAGGACCCAAACATTCACCCTTGCGGATTGCATCGCGAAGACCTTGCTTGAGATGAGGATCGCGAAAACCACAAGCAACGAAGACAGTCATGCTGCTACTGATGGGGAGCGTGCTGGTGATGCTTGTCACTGGGATACTGTGTTCCAAGCAAGGGCATGTAGCTTTGCCGTGTAATCGGCGTGCTAGAGCTAGTGGTGCTGTTGGTGTTGTGCTGGTGACGGTTGGTGTTTTTTTCGTGACGGTTGCAATGGCGGCTGCGGCGGCCGGCGGCGGTTGGTGGTGGTGGCGGCTTGTGGTGGTTTGTCGTGGTGGTTGCTGGCGGTTGCTGGCGGTTGCTGGTGGTTGATGGTGGTTGGTGGTGGTTGGTGGTGGTGGTTGGCGCTTGGCGCTTGGCGTCGGCGATGATTCGTCGGCGATGACGCCGTCAGATTGAGCTTGAACATGCACATGCAGATGATAATCACATATAATCACCCAATGTGGCAGGGATGATGGTGACGATAGCGATGGTGATGCTGCCACAGAAACGGTGACGACGACCGGTGCCCAAGGCTGTTTCATGGGTGCTGGCATGGGTTGTTGGTTGTTGGAGGCTGCTACTTCAGCGTCGAACGTACGTCCAGGCCAGGGCACCCAGCGCTGCATAGTTTCGTCCCCCCAAGTCTCGTGCAGTGGTGATCCTGCGTGGCCAAGACTCCGCCAGAGCTCTCTACGCAGCACATGGCACGCATGTGCTTCGTAGCGTGTGGGCGGAGTCCCGCTGCGCAGCATGCGCAAGGCGCGCTCGGCCATCTCTTGGCGAAGCTGCGCTGCCGAGAGCTCGGGCTGGTCGTGCAGGGGGAAGTGCTCAGAGAACTCCACGTGCACCTCGGCCATCTCGGCCCAAACAGTGCCCTCTCTTTGTTTCATGCTTCCTTGCAGCGAGAAGCATGAGCATCGATGAGGCCTGGCATCACCGTGCAACCCGGGTAGTGCTCAACCGGCAGGCCCAGATCAACGGCCTGGCCACTCCAATCGCGTTCACAACCGCCTACTAGGCCTTGCGGTGGAACACGTGTCTCCGCGCAGCTTATGCATCAATACTTCAAAGCTCGGGAAAGCAGCATTCGAGGGCTGCAGCTACCGACTCGTGCGCGGGGGAGAGCCTCTTCAATGCTGCACACGGAAGCAATGCGCTTCCCACGGACGATCACACACAACCTGCAAGCAGTGAGCAGTCGTACTGTTTCGTTCTGTCCTTGCTGGGAAAGAGGCAAACTGGGCCAGCCTCGGTGTTGCTTGATCGGAGTCGCCATTCCATAAGAGGTCGCCAGCCAAAGCCCAGTCGCCGTCCTCCACACTGAGCCTGCAGTGTCACTGGCAGGCCGCTGTGTCCAGCAGAGTTGATGCTGCTGATGCCTGTGGCCCTCAGATCCGGTCGGCCATGGTCTGCTGGTACCTCGGCGCTCCAAGCGAAATTCGTTTCTGCATGAGTTGTATGCGTCGACCTAATTTTGAAAAGCATGTCGAAGGCAACGCCAAGACGAAAGAATCATCACGGGGGAGACTTCACAGTCCGGAAACCGCCGGAGTCCATTTCTGCACTTGGCACTAACTGGCCAGGCCACAGCCTTCTGGATTGGCTCCTCGACTGCCATCGCTCATTGGAAGGCATCTGTGCCATTGTGTGTCAGTGTCACGTTGCGGCGGAGCGTGTTATCGCTTTGACAGCTTCTACCTGTAGCTCCTCCTCTTGACTCTTCTGCGGAGAGGCTGAGGGTTTGCAGCCCGCACAATGCAATCAACCGTCTTCTGGTGTGCCGGAGGCTATGCAGCAGACTGGGCCGAGAAGCTATAAACATCTCTGCCCTGTACAGGAGATGCAGACATGATCGGCTGCTGAGGCTGGCGTCCGCTGTGCCCGGAAGATTGCAGCATCGCATGTTCATCCCAACTGAAGCCCCACTCAGGCCCCACAAGCATCCCAAAGCCCAAGAGCCCAAGGGCGCGGCCTTTTTTGACCGCCGCGTCGACGAGGGCCTGAGTGCCCTGCAAGTCACATCGCTCTGGCCTCCCAGGAAATCCGCGTTCCTGGTTCCTCCTCCGAAAGCAGGTGCGAGGCCCTGGCTCCGTGTTATCCAAACCTTGGCCGCAGCGAAAGCTGCAGCAACAAATCATGTTCGTTGTGGAATGTGCACATAACACGGAGGTCTTGGAAACCGCAAAACCCAAGATCCCCAGCAGCTTTCCTTTCCCAATCCACCCACTGCACTTATGTTCCAACCGTTGAACCCTCGTCACAGGCTCTCCACCTCGGCGTGAAAGAAATGAAAGAATCAAGAATTGGCAGGCCCCGAGGCTCCCGCCCAGGCCAGGCCGCAGGATGTCGAAGCCGAAACGGGCACCGGCGAGGTCAACGACCTGAGAAGCGAGCCCGTCACAAACGAGCAGACATGAACCTGCCACTTGATGGAATTTGATGGATATATACGTCGATGCACGGATACATGGGCGGAAGAGGGAGGAAGATAGAAAGAGAGAGAGAGAGAGAGAGACCGAAATAAACAAAAGCTAAGACAGGCGAGTGAGAGTCAAACGGAGACCTGCCAGCGTGCATGATAGTATGCCCTGTACCTTGAGAGCCAAACAGAAAAATCGCAAGAAAGTTCGTCGACTTTCAGCGTCGGAATTTGACATCTTACTCCTCTGACATCGGCTAAGAGTTGGAAGTGCTGATATGGCACTTGATCCAGGAAAAAGGGCAATGAGCAATTATGAGATTTGCAAAGGTGCCAGCAATGGAAGAAGAGCCCATCAGGTTCTTACAGTGATGTGACTGTGGCTGTGCCTTCCTGCTTCAAACCTCTGAAATGCAGCGGCCAATCAGTCAAACATCTGACATGCAGCGAACTACCGCTACCGCTTGGATGTCATAGCAGAGAGCTTTGGTTGCGAGCTCAAACTAAGCCGTGTCCGAAGCAAGGCTAAACCCCAAATTGAGCAAAATTAGCAAAACATCATATAAGTTCGCATTGTCAAGCTGCCGTGACGAGACCAGTTGCCCCTTGCCCCAGGCATGCAGGTCGTGCCCGAAAGAATGAGGCCAGAGCCACAGAGGCATCCAGCAACTGCTCCTCGAGCTCCTGCTTGGCAGACTTGGATTTGCAGGAGGCTTTCGACGGTGCTCCCGCCCGCACGCACGCCCACTCCAAACGGTACAGAAGTTTCGACGGGAGAGCCAGGTGCAGCATGTTAGAATGTGCAGAAGCCCTTGGAACGAAAAGCACTCGCCATCTCCAAGTCTCAAGACTGGCACCTTCTCACGGCCGCCCTCAATGAAGGCATCTTTGATGACGGTCATTTGGTACCTGTATTCGGACAGATTCTAGGATTCTAGGCTAGGAACAGTGGAAATCCCTCCGCCGGCTATCGTAAGCTGCTCAAGGTCACTTGACAATTTTCACCCGCACGTGACAGTGACAGAATGCTCGGTGACAGGCTTGGTGGAGGATCTGTTCATGTACTGGACCTCTGCGATGCGCCCTGGAAGCATGCGGAGCGGCGAACTAGCACACCAAGTCTCCGTGCATAGAGGTGGGCATTGCTGAGATTGCACAAAAACAGAAGTGGGCAGCCTTCATCACGAGCACCACAGTAGATTGACCTCGTCAACAGGATTGACTGGGGAGTGCATCTACGCCTCAAGCCTGCCGGTGCAGCAAATGATATGCCGCTGCCACTAAGCCAGGCGCATTCCGGTTTTGAGCATGTCGAGCACTGCCTTGGTGTCGGGGCACATGGCTGTGTCTGCCAGATCCAACGTCGCTCACGACCAAAGGAAGAATGAAGCAGCTTCCGGGCCACCCTGCGCGTCTGCCCAGCTCTCCTGTCGAACCAGCGACAAACACCTGACACTGCGGCCGCTTGTGCGTGCTTTTCACCGTCTCGTACAGTGCAGCAGTCAAGGCCCCATTCACAATGGCACGGAATGGGACGATGAACAACATACGGAGAACATTCTTGCGCGAGACCGGATGAGGGCTTTGCAAGACAGTCACACAATCAGGGATCCCCGCCCCGGCAGGGAAGCGAACGGCCAGACACGGCAGAAGAAGTGTAACCTTGTACATGACTAGTCTGCCCAGGCAAGAAGACCTTGCGAAGTTGTTGGCGTCAGGGCTTCACCGGCTTTTGAGTCCGGAAGTCGTGTGGATCGGATTCGATGGCCCTCAAATCGGCGGCCCAAAGACGTCGATTCATGAATCTTCATCGCCGGGTTCTGCCAGGCTACGTCGCCTCGGACTTGTTACGGGTGTTTCTTATCTTCGGGAAACCCTTAGATTGAGTGCCCGATCCAGCTGCTGGTGTTCCCAGCCGCCGTAGATTTGTGCAGACTGCCTCATCTCTCTTCCCTGCTCCATAATGAGGCAAGTCTGCGACACGCAGCTGGCTTCAGAAGCTGCTTTAGTGCAGGATGGCAGGTGCCTTGGGCTTCTCCAGAAAGCAAGCTGCCTGATCGCAAATCTTCAAGCCTCGGCGGCGCAGCCAAGCAGAACAGGCAGTCCGAAGGCAGGAGAATAAACAGAAGCTGACCTTGCACGTAGTTTCCTGCACCCCATGAACTGCTCTACTGCCACGAAACGCACAAAGCGTCTGGCTTTGCAAGAGCGCTTCTCGGCTTAGAGTTTGCCTGGCCTACGGGATTCGTGCTTCTTTAGATAAGGAGTGCACCTTCTGTGGCCGTCAATCTTCCGTCAGGCCTCACAGTGAACGGAACGATGATCGTGACGTCTCGCATGGGGGTCTCATCCGAAATGCCGGTGTGGATTGGACTTGCACATCTGCGCTTCGTTGACATGTTGGAGCATCCAACCGAACAAGCATTCCAAGCTCGCAACAAAACTGCTCGTCCATACCTCGCATACTGAAGTGGTTTTCATATGAAAGCTGGCCACAAGCCACCCGAAAACTGTGCTCATGGAAAAAACGGCTCAAGCTCGGCCTCCAATGTTCCGCACAGATCCCCAAGAAGTGTAACAAACTGAACTGACCAAGCAGCTCATCCAGGCGCATGTTCTCCGCATAAGCCTGCAAAACAAGCTACTTGTACCCGGGGTCCAAGCTTTCAGCTCTAGTCTGCATCGTAAGTTCCCCAGGCATCTCCGAAAACCAAGATCCCATGCCACAGTGTTCCCGGCATGGAGTCACATTCATTCAGGCACTTTTCTGTTGCGTCCCAGCGAGACAGCAACTGCGCAGCAAAAGGCCTGAGAAGGCAAGCTTTCAGGGTGCAAGGCAGCACAGCTTCGACGAAGCATCACCGACGAGAGAGACTCTGCTACATCTCGCCGGTGCAGCGAATCTATGTGTATATCTATCTGTCCATCCATCCATCCATCCATCTGTACATCTACCTGTACCGATGTATGTATATATATATATATATATATCTACACACAACTACTACATGATACATGCATCCATCTACTAAAATATGACATATACATATGTGGACATATATATATATATATATATATATGCTTGTTTTGAACTTAGATTTGTGAATGTATGTACATACAGTACACTACACACACCTCCATCTATCTACCTATCTATCCATACAGAAAATATCCACACAGGAGTCGGGCTTCATGCGTAGGACAATTGGATGTGCTCCTCCGTGCCGTCATACGCATCCTGCGAAACTTCTCGCACCAGAACTCCAAGACAACCAACAGCACACACTCAACAGGAAGGCTCTTGCTTTCCTGTTACATGAGAACTAACCTTCACACTGACTGCAAACGTCACCTACTCAGCCCAAACCAAAGACCTTAGATGGCTGAAGAGCTTTACAAGACTTCGTCGTTAGTGAACTTTCAGATTCCCGTTAGTTACGAGACCAGAATGGCAAGTTCAACCGTGGAGCGAAGCGTTTGCAGGTCCTGCCAGATCAGGCGCTTGAGCTCGCGAGCCACGGGGCCGACCTGTTAAAGGAGAAGACTAGGCCAGGGCTGATGAACGCAGCAGAAGTGTGCGAAGAAGCTAGCAACCAAACTTGTCAGATCAAATCTTAGATGTTTTTGTTTCAGCCTGCCTCTCCGTTGCCCACTTGCTGGCCGTCCAGTGTTGACACGGGAGAGACGCCAAGATCACCCGAGAGCATCATGACCTCGTCAGGGAATATAATTCAGGGGCGTGCACGGGCTAATCGGTGCGCTTCGGCGTGCCTCCTGAGCTGAGAAGAGCTGCTCCTTGCGCATCGTCTCCTGTCGGATCTCACGCAGGACCTCGCAACATGATGGCGTCACCCAGGGAGAACTACTACATACAGCAGGGTGCAATCAAACTGCAAAGATGCCTGCAGTCCCTCGGCCACTGGCGACAAATCAAACCTACTAGCTGACTCTGCTTGCAACCCCCTAGCAACATCACGACTAAGAGTACTGAAGGCCGCCTTCGTTTCTCCCACCAAGTGCTTCTTTGCCAAGTCCATGGCCTCGAATTCAACGCTGGGACCCGAGACCACGAGTCTCTATTGCGTGCAGTCACTGAGTCCGGGCCTTGCGAACTGTTGTCCCTGCAAGAATGCCATCGAACCTCAGCACACTCGGTTTCGAGAAAGTTTGGAAGCTGTCCCGACAAACTTCAAAGCGCATCCTGAAGCAAGCTGTAATGACTTAGCCAGGTTGCGGAGGTGTGATGAACACCTGGTCCTGAGTGGTACGTGAATCTGGCTCAACTTCGCCTACGACGCATGAAAGCTTCGTGCTGGGTTTGCTGTATTCACTGTATTCCAAACCTTCAGACCCACCGCTGCGGAAGAGCATCAACCACGATGGCGCAGTTGGCCACACAACCCTCTGCGACAGTGCCGTCATCACCTCTCGCAGACCGAAGCAGCGGTGCGATCTCGCTCAAGGAAACAACACGTGTAGCATGCAGGCGAACTAGGAAGAGGTAGGGTGGAAAATGCGCTAAAACGAGAAGCTGCCGCATCTTTGCTATAAATGCTTGTCAGAAGAAGAAGAAGCAAGCACCCGTCTCGAGCCCACGAAAAAGGAGCACCCGAGGCCATGAAAAGACGAGCTGCGGATGTTGATTCCGTAGCAACCACCTCTCTCCTGAAGTGGCCCGTAGAATAGGAGTCTGCCTTTCTAGCAGTACCAGGGCACGCACACACACACACACAAAGATAGTCGTTGCTCTTGCAGCAGAAGGCCAAGGAAGCTAACCCTTGCTCCTGCGCGGACATTGCCAAAAGGCAATTTAACAGATAGTTGTTGCTCTTCAGAGTAGCCAGCAGCGTCGGCTTCATTGGAACCTGACCGGCAGACTGCAATCCACTGCAGTGTTCAGTCATGTCAAAGCCCACATTTCGACAGCATGTGGACCCCTGCCTCGCTGGCAGGCACAGTGGCCTCCCCTATGGCCTCGCAGCAAGTTCCGACCCCTCAGACATCTCGACTCGCTGCCACGAAGCTTTCTGACACCAGGCATGGACTGGGCACAGAAAGCGAGAAGAAGGCCAGCCGCCTTCAAGTCCTCGGACTTCGAAGACTCGAGCCTCTGCGCAGGTCTGAGAGTGGGCCATGGCAGGTCAGGCAGGTGAGCAAACAAAAGGGTTCTGTGCATTCATACAAGGCCGATCCCACGATCCTTTGGTGTGTCGACTGCGACGAGCCGCTTGAGGGGTCAAACAGAAAAACCCTCGAAGAATTGCCTCGACGTTCCCAATTCCCCAGGCACTTAACAAATCTGCGCAAACATTGGGCACTGCATGATAGGTCTTGACAAGGCTCACCGTGCAGTAGAAGGCTGGCTCGCAGCCTTTGCACATAGTGCTAGGGCTTCGGAGCTTGAGGTGATAAGGCTGAGGGATGTTAAGGGTCTAAGTCCACAGCATGGGTTTACATTGGTAAGGCTGTGGGTTTTCGGATGGCGCGCCTGCAGGAGTGAATCCATAATTGCCAGGGCCAGCCGTCAGAAAAAAGCGCACACCTGCACGGTAGACAAATGCACGGGCAAGCCGATGCAAACTTCAAGACCACAGCCTCCATCTCGAAGTCCGCTGGCCACACAGGTTTGGCAAATGATCTCCTGAGCGGGATAAGAGCGCCACCGTTCTCAAAGCTCAGTTCGCATGAGTCCAGATCCAAAATGATCGCCCACTGAAGCTGAAGAAGCCTTGTTTTAGAGTGCTCTGACACACCGCCTGCACAGAGTTCATAACCTCAAACGCCAGAAGTGCTCCTGCTAATTCGGACAGGAAAGGCCGACCGGTGTGCAGTCGAGTTTCAGTCATCCGACTTCGATTCTCGTCCTGCACTTGCCAGCAACAGCCACCCGCACCGACGCCTCTAACTACCGCCCTGCGCTCTGTTGCAAGTACACCATAACAACAACGCATATTGCACGAGCTCTCCTCGGAGGGGCCAAAAGGCAACTTCAATCGACCCAGCTTGGCACTCTTGAAGAGGCGATCCAAGTGGATTCCAAGCCTGCTAACTTGGATGCCAGGGGAGCGACTCTGAACAAGCAAGCCTTACTATGTACGCATTGCCGTAAGCGTCACCAATGCTCTTTCGATAGGCCTGTTTGTTGCCTGTAACGAATTGACATGCTTCCGGTCCTCCCTGCCTGAAGACACGGCCCCCTGCTAAGGTGCAGGTGTCGAAGATGGCGTGACCCCTTAGCGGCTCTGCTGTCGGCTGGCTTTATTCAATTTAGACTCTCGGACCTGTGATTGAGACTCTCAGCCGCTGCTGACTGTGCCTTGCAGGCATCTTAGCAAATCCAATCCTTGTCGAACACCTCGAATCCTCTCCCTAATGAGCCCAGATTCCTAATGATCGCATGGTCGTCGATGGGCATAGCCTTAAGTTTCAGTCGGGCACATCTCCGAGACCAGACAAGGTCGTCGTGTAAGCGCCATTTCAAGATACCCTTCCCAGGCACTACTGCTTGCGTGGTGCGTCCTGGACCAACTAGCCTGAATCCTGGCACATCCTGGCATGCCAATTGCGATCTGGCGCACCATCAGCTCTGGGTCGGTAATGATGCCGTCAACCAGAGAAGAGTACATCGCTTTGATAAAGTGGCCTTGTCGCATGTTGAAGCTGTCAGAGAACTGAGCTTTCAGCATGTTCCGTCGCACCATACATCAATCCTCAATCCTGCAGCGTGCCCCCTGTCTGGAAAGTGCCTTTGCAAGGGTGTTTGCACTGCTAGATTCACGTAGTCACACATGCCGCATTTTGCCGCGCTGGCATGGCAAGGATCACAGAATAGAAGGGCATGCAATGAAACGAGGCGGCGCCACAGATTTTACCAACGACCGCCCACCAAAACCCTGCAGAATCTTGGAGATGCTTGCGGGGACTTGCTTGAGGGAAGTCGGGCTGCAAGGCAAGCAAAGTGACGCAGTGCTTCGTTTCGGGACCCAGCCAGCAAATTCCAGATTCCGGCATCACGCAACAAAATCTCATTAAACCAAGACAGACTGCAGGAACATCGCAGCCAATATTCGCTGTTTCTAGATGGCGGATATAGCGGAAGCACCGGGATTGATTCTGATTGACAAACCGCTCGAACATTCGGGACAGTCGTCTGATCGGTTCGAGACTTGCGAATTGTTTCGTGGTCTCGAGTGTCGCAAAACAACAAGCCTGAACTTTGCCGAATCTGACAGTTAGCTGTGAGCTACGCTGCAAACATCAACTCGATGTCAACAGTGCCTCGTGGTTCGACAAACAGCTGCTGGTTTATCAGTGGGCATAGTTTGGCAAAGTGGAACGTCGCGTTGGTGTATGTTAGAACCTACGAAAAGCCGGCGTCGTCGCGAGATCAACATCAACATGCGCGAGGCAACCGGCATAAGGGTGAAAGTGCAGCGAGCCTGTCGAGCACGAGACTACGTGGGCAGAGACTTCACAAGTTACGCGACCTGCAGCTCCCGAGCTTCTCTTCTGGCGCGCTGCCTTGGACCTCGGATCTCAGATCCCGTGACAACTCATGGCCTCGAGATGCCAGTCCATCAAGATGCGAGCTGACTTGCATTACCGAATTACTCATACAAGTCTTGTTCGTGCCGCCCCGGACCGACTTTCGGGCAGGTTTTATCTGAGGCCCCGCGTAGTGCAGCCCCAGCACTTCTCGAGAAAGCTCTCGCGGTCGAGAACAGCCAGCTTCCGTTTCTCCCCTTCACTCTATCCCATGGGCTGCAACTCTCAAGCTTCAAGGCAAAGCAGATCACCCACGGCCTGCGGACGCCATGGCTCCCGAAGAAGGGAAGGGCGCCCGCGTGAGCACTGCAATGCTGCGAAAGGCGGCTACCGAGCGAAGTACTTGAGGGCAGACCATCTAAGAATTCTACACAGAGAGACCCAAAAGTCTGTTTGACGGACAGGGGTGTGGCAAATTCTTCTCTAGATGGCTGATGCTCTCTGCCTCAGGTAGGCATTGCCCTTTGTCGTTCTTGTTTCTCCGTGTCTTTAAAAAAATCCCTCTCTCCTGTGCTCCCATTCTCCTTTCGCCTGCTTGCACCACCAAGGATCCGAACCTTCGCTGAACTTTCTGCCCCTTACCCCCTATTCCTCTGCGCACAGTTGCTTAAAAATCCAATTTGACATCCAGGTCTGTATACTCAAAGCAAACCTTGTCTGTTCCGGTTGCACAACGGACCATTCGAAGACGTCCTCGTGCTCTCTAGTTGCCCTTTTTGGTTAGGTCTTCTCTCTGCAAGGGAGTCTCTTCCACGCACAGCCCCTCATTCAATGTCTCCTCTAATCCTAACTGCCAAAACGGAGCATTGAAGCAGCCAGAAGGCTTTCACAAGCAGTGCTGCGAGTTAATGCCATCAATTCTGGTGGAGGCCTCGCCCGCCAATGTCGCCACTGCTATGCCGGCGATCGCCTGGTCTTCCTAGCGACGCCTTCACCAAAAGGGACCGAAGCCCATATACCCCAAGAAAAAGGAGAATGATGGGGCAAATTTTCATGTTCCGGTTCTGCACATGCTCAAGCCAGGGCCTGCCGTCGCGGAGCCTGGCAGGGGCAACAAAGCTGTGGTTGGGAACAGCGGGGTTGGAGTGTTACCACCCTTGGCAAATCATCCACGATAGCATCGAATGGCATGCCTTCGTGGTCTGCAGCGGCTCCATCCAGGCCTCATCCTCAGACAAGCTTGCTCCGAAAAGTAAGCAGCGTCCCGCAGACACGCGAGCAATCCACACCTGGTAGCCTCAAGCCACATGCAAATCTTGAAGAAGCCTCATAGAACCCGAAACCGCCTTATATGCCGGAAGTGCATCCCCGAAAGGCTAGCTGCCACGTACTTTGCGAGGTACAGACCCGCAACTACTGTTCTACCGAGTCTCGCATAGCATGGAGGCAGACGTGATGGCCACGACGGCGAAGCAAAGCAGCGAACCTGTGCTGCAAGTGAGCCGCGGAACTTAACACTGCTGATGCATGCCTGCCTTCGCCTGCAGCTCCCGAAAACTCTGCAGCAATCTACGCACCAAGCAAAGGCATGCGGTGCCTCTCGAGTGCTTGCCCGCAGCCTGCGACAGCAGGATCAGCAGGCGGCTTCGAGGTGCAGTTACCAGTGGTTCCTCTGTCTTTGGGCTCTTGTCATAATATGCCCCGTGCGACGTTTGCTGTTCCTCTGTCGTTTCCATAGCATGTGCTGGCAGCAACGCGTGCTACCGTTCATGCTGACTTGACTCTGGCCTCACAACGACGCGGCTCCCGTCGAGCGTAAGCTGTCCGCCTCTTTGCTTTTTGTATTTCCGAGGTCTGTAGCTCTTGAAGCGGTCTGCCAAGCAGGTTCTGAAGTCATCTCTGCTCGTCACCTGGCTTGGGCTGCACGTCTCCGCCTCCTCCTCTCGTCACGATGCTAGACCAAGTCAACCCCTCCTCCCTCCGTCAGCTCACGGTGACGCTGCGATAGCATACTCAACTTCAAGCTTCTTGCACTATATAACTCCGAGACCGTCGTCTACAAGCGGCTTGGTCTTCTGCCAGTGTCTTGAGAACCTGCCATGCTCAAAGACGAGCAGCATGTCTTGCTTCGGTTCTCTGCTTCTTCTTCTGTCCAGTTTTTGATCTTGACATTTTGTTTTCAGTTTCTTCTTCAGTCGGGCCGAATGCCGTAGGCTGTAGGGCCACTGTAGGGCTTGCACTCCCCGCCTCCCATCTCTGGGGGGATCTGGGTCGCTCCCTCCCCGTCCCTTCGGCACGATTTCAAAGCTGCGGCCTTTCCTCTCGCGGCCGCAGCACGCGCCATGGCACCGGCAAATACGGAGCCCTGCAGCTGCAACGCTTCGGATCCTTCTACGAAGGCTGTTGGGACCATATACCTACAGAAGTCTTGCACTCGAGTGAAAGCTGCTGGACAGCTTAGATGTCGCTGCTTGTGCTTGTGTCGTGCTTCGGCTAGGTACGTTCCTTTTGGAATGCTGACGAATGTGCAGGTGCCAGGCGAGAACCACGCACCCACGCACCGTGAACACTTGAGAAGACGGGCACGAAATTTAAGCTAGGGCAAACAAGCCCGACAGATTGGATAGAGCTCTTGCGTTACCGCGCGCATGCTTCGGCAAGGTTTCATAAAGCTTGAAAGCTGCACGGTGATGCATGAAACTGCCCAGCCCAAACACTTGGTCGCGTAAACACAGATGCAAGTGCCGTGGTGCTGGAATCTGCCACATCGACACCCCAAGCATCTGACACACTTGCCATGGTGCTTGATAGAATCCGGCCAAGTCGGTGAACTAAACCTG